CCCAGCGCCAAAACACATTCCGTCTTTCTCTTTCACTTGCTTGCAATATTGCTATACATTGCTTCTGCCTAACCGCCTAACGGGTAATTTTGATTAGCACGCGTGAAACTATAATGTCATTGAGGAACATCAAAACAAGCTGAATTGAATGATTGATGCTGGGGCCTTGTAGGAATCTTACGCTTACGTGATCAACGTGATCTTCACTGGGGGCCCTTGTCAGGATATCGTGATTTCCCAATTTCGCACCAGGCCACCAATGAGAGTGCCAAGATCACCGAACCCATGGCAGCAATGCCGTCCGCCGGGACCTCTGAAAAGAAAGAAAAGAACAAATCAAAGATTTTGATCTTGGTGAACTTGGTTGAAACCTCGGGAGATTGACTCTGCAGCGATTGGACACTGATTCACGCTTTATGATGTACAAAGTATCGAAACAGCAATAACTTATGCTACAGCCATTGCCAGACCCAGTAAACAGCCATTGCAATATCTTGCTACAGGAGGCCTCAACATGGTCCATCCATGGAATCAACATCGCTGCAGAAAGTCCGAAGGATAAAACCACCTTGGCAGGCCAAGGATTGCCATGAGCAAATGTGGAAACGTGTACCACCCAGTAGCTATTCCGCGAATCGCAATCATTTGGTTGTGTCAGTGATGGTCATAGCCATAGATTGCCCATAGCAAGCCCATTGAGTACATGGTCAGTTGCAGGGAAAGATACGACAAAATAACGCACAAATACTTCACATTGCACACAATGTATCACTGGTTTCTTGCAGACCCTCGTCAGCTCAAATCATTTGTCTTTGCATGTCTTCACGCCTGCGGTTTTTTCTATGAGATTTGGAAGGTCGCAGAATCCATCTTTCTACAAGCGATTGTGTTCCTTCACAAGGCAAACAAAGTGAAGTGATATGAGTCTCGCAACGAATGACCAAGCCTCTACGTTTCGGGGGGATGCTGCAAGGGGATGCTGCGTCGTTCTGAACCACTCTGCCAGGTGACCGAGAAGAGCGGAAGGATCAGCAAGCGCCAGTGTCGTACAAGACATCCCATGATCAATAGCGCGATAGGTGTGGTGACCACCTCTGCATAGAATAAACACTTGAAGCTCATGTCCTCAAGGGATAGAATGGCTTTTTGCGCACATGGGTGGGCTGCCGGGGAATGAGGGTCATCAATCTTGTTTGTTTCATGCTTGACTAGGTCAATTTCAATCAGACTCATGCAGAACCGATTCATCACAAGGTGCTTGTCTCTTGGTTTTAACTGCATGACTCATGACTATTAATTCAGCTGCCAGCGGACAACTCAACTGCATTAGCTGGCCGCATGGCTCGGATCTGCTGAGCCCAGGAACTGTGGCCTGTTAGAATCACAAAGTGCTCCCTGCCTGCGAAACTATGCTACTAGTAGCGTCCTTGCTCCTAGTAGCGATGCCCTTTGCTACTACATAGTAGCTTCTTGTTCCTAGTAGTAAGGGCCAGGAGCTGCCTCCCAAAAATCCTACCCATCTCCATGTCCTGAGGATTTACCACAGCATGGCTGTTCGATGAACAGCCACTGCCGGTGGCAATGGCTGGCATTCCCGTGATGTGGAGATTGTAACCTGGGTGTCTTTTCATCCATTCAAAAGACACACGAACAATTACAAACAACATCAAACAACAAATACATGTTGAACATCGTTTCGATCTATCTATCTAGGGACCACTTGGCAGGCCTGTACACGAGTCATTATGCAAAGAACATCACAAAAACGACCTGCACTTCAAGTGGCCTCTCAAGCTTGCCATTTATGTCTAAGCATGTTTGTTAACGGGCAGGTATGATTGCCAAATTAGCAAATATATACCATCAAATACCAATACCGTATCAATATTTAGCACATCCGCTTTGGCTTTCGTTTTCGCCGAAGGACCAGGGGGTGGAGATGAGCAAAATTCTTGCAAGAAGTCGTTGGCCTCCAAGGATGAGTTCATCATAGGCAAGCAAAACAACGGCAATCGTTACTGGTCACAGGACTTTGAGGCAAACATAGGCCTTCATCATCTTCTTCTGTGAAACTGGTTGTGACTTCTGGATTCTGGAAGCCTTGCAATCCTAGCTCCGCATGAAAGCCCCGAACGCTCTGGCTCTCAGTCTCATTCGCTTAGAGCAGCCTGACCAAAGTTGTGGTTGTCAGGAATGTTGGTTGGCCTTGGCATAGGTTGGTCTTCGCCAAGGAGTTCAACTACAAACAGGAACGACAAGCGTGCAATCACACACAGTCATACACATGCTGGAATTTGACCTATGGTCTGTCCTCGCACAGAAGTGTTCAGGGAAATGCATGGAAGACACCAAGAACAAGATTCAAGCCCGATGACCAAGCATGCAGAGCAAGCCCAGTCGCTGAAGCAACAGCCACGTCATCCTTCGATCTGGACTTACAAAGTCCAGGTTCGAGACCACACTTCTCGGTAACTCCCCGAAATCGGACCAGTAGCCTCAGTCATTGAGCTCGAAAGCGGACCTTCAAGAGTCAAGATCTGCTTCATGTTCGACGTCTGACCAAAAAGGGGTACCTTCAGTCCAACCCGAACAGTTTTCTACACAAAGACGTGGAGTTCTCTCAGCTCCGAACTGAGAACGCGAGGATGGAACTGCCGAACTCGTTCGTCCAGGGAGACCTACGATCCCGTCCACCGGTTTACATCAATCAAAGCAGTGTGGTGTTGGGTGACCAAGCCCTTGTTTTGACTCCTGTTGTCCAATTTTCACTCTTGAAACAGGGCAAACATCGAAACAAACTCCGGCGCTCTGTGTGAAAGGCACATTGGCAAACAAGGCTTTCCATGCCTGTTGGCTCACGTTCTGCGCAAAGGCCCTTACATCGGCAGACAAGGCTGTCCCATTTGATGGAGCCTGCACAGGCAAGTCTCTACCAGCTACCAATGATCATGTTTGATCAACCTATGCGTCACAGTACAAACCCACCATTATGAACAAATTTGAACTCTCCAGAATCCACAAGCAAATACCAATTGTGCTTTGAAATACCGGCGACATGATGTCTTCCAGTGAGTCGTATGAGTCTCCATTGTCTCGATGATGTTTTTTGCAGCTGCTCCTCGATAGCCATAACGATGGTGCCAGAGAGTCGCCTGGAAAGAAACACCAGAAATGAAGGTGTCGTCCAGTCTTGTGTCTCTCTGATTTCGCAGGCAAAGTTCTTGTTTGTCACAGGGTGCCTGAAAAATTCCTCTGGGAAGCCTTCCCCAAGAAACCTGCCTTGGAAAAATCTCTTGAATCTTGTGATTGGCTTCGAGCGCCTGACCTCGCAGAAGCTGCTGATCTTTCTGTCGGAAAACAAGGGACACATTGGACACTTTTCGAAAAGCAAACAGCTTGTTGAAGGGTGAAATGGCACCTCAACGGCAGCTATGCAGCGCTTCTGTGGTATTTACTGAAGTACTGAGGAATCTAAGGCATGCTGAGTCAAGGATTGGACGCATTTTGGTGTAAAGGAAAACGATGGAAAACGGGTCAGGTCTGCAGTCTGTTAAAGTCCATCGCGCAAAGCGGCTCCATTGCGGTGTCTGCCAGCCCAGGTTTCTGGTGTGGCGAAAAAGGGCTGCTACAATGTACCTCTCCTCAGAGCTATTTGCAGCAGAACTTCTTGCTTGTGAAAACTGTGAAAACGCAATAAATGATAGACCAAGCAAGGCACTGAACATTCTCTGAACATCATGGCATGAATCTGGACACACCAGCGACTATGATATTGGTCTGATGCAACAGGTCTAACTTGTCCCTTACACTGAGCGCTTCTGGATCTTTCCAACTTCCAAGAGTCGCTGCACAGCAAGGCCGCTGCTGCGAGGAGCACCACCAGGGATTCGTATCGCGCCTCACGATCCGAAGGATCCCCAAACCACATCAGCAACCAGCGACGCAGCACGTTGGGAATCGTCCATCATCTGCATCTACTACAACAGTTATGGTTTTGACATGTGGATCACTCACTTTGGATTCTTGTTGCTAGAGCTGGCAATTTGTTCAACTTTGTCTGTCCTACCTTGTTTATACTGCCATTGCTTCATCATGCTTCAAACTCATCATTGGGCTATGTCAGGAAAAAAGGCCGTGTGGGGGTCTGCAAGGCGCACTGCTGGCCGCACGGAGGCATCCCAGAAGCGTCTCTTGCCTTGGCTTTGCATGAGTGGCCATGAGTGGCGCAACGTCATGATTTTGGGCCATGATGCTATTCAATATTGATCAATGCCATGGAGCAAGAAGGACTTTCATTTCCATGTTGCCACATCGAGCTATCGAATCTCTGCACAAGGACCTGATCAGGTGGATCCTGCTGTGCTCCAAGGAAGATTCAAAGGCCAACTTCAAATTTGCACCACACGACCAACACTCTCCCACGAGCGGTCCAACAAGGAACGCATTTCGCTGAAACTTCAAGCTGCTTTGCAGTCTTGAAGCAACCTCCAACTTGGATGCCTCCTGGGTGTCTTCTGGTGTTCTGAGGTGCCCAGTGTGAGAAGCGTTTGTTTAAAAGTGCTGACGGCGCCTCGTGTTTATTGTGATTGTGGTATGATGATACTTGTCACACTGCAAACTCCGCAGCAGCATAGGGTGGTCCTATGAACCTTTTGCGGCAAAACTGGGCAGGAATGCGTCATCAATTTGGTATCAACAAACAGCTGCTGAGGCCACAAGTGAGAAAAATTGCTCCTACAAACAAAAGCACTCTTTTGGCATTCCTTTTAGAAACATTGAAACGGGCACTCAAGTCCTACTTGAGCGATATAGAGCCACGGAAGCTCAAGGCCTACTTGAGCGATATAGAGCCACGCAAGCTCAAGGCCTACTTGAGCGATACAGAGCCACGCAAGCTCAAGCCCTACTTGAGCGGTAGAGAGCCGTGCCATCTTGAAACGAGAGCTCAAGGCCTACTTGGGCTCCAAAGCGAAGGAAGGAGAACGGCTCCAGGATGCTTTTTACGCATAAATGAACGGTAGGAGAACAAGTGTGCAAACCACGAATTGCGCAAAGACGGGCTTCAACACCCGCTTGACAATCATTCCCTCGGGCACGTGCAAGCCAATGACTGCAGTCGCCTCAAAAAAACAAGGGATCTGTTTTAAGTTTTAAGCACACAAAAAAGATGCAACAGATATAAACATGTTGACCAAAAGAGCCGTGGATACAACCTACGGGAGCGTTTTGAAGTGCGGGGTCTACTATGTCATCCTCGAAAGGACTCAGCTATTGTCTCCTGAATCCTTGTTTCATATGAAAGCTCATGATGGTGTGAAGATATGTGAAGATGAGAAAAAGACTGAGGCAAACACTGCAATGATGTTTGAGAGGCAAAAGGCGTTGCCACTCGAAGCCCCACAAAGCTGCAAGGCAATCAGTGCATGGGATGACAAGTTCAGCTTCTCGGCTGCGACCTTCTGCACCTGTGTAAAGGTGAGGCAAGACACCGTGGTTGAGCCGCTGAAGAAGGAGCCCAGAGCACCCAAGGGAAAGGAGAGGGCCATGAAGCCATGACTCAAAGTCTCTGAAAGTCGTGTTCCAATGATCACAGCAGGTGCATCTTTCAAAGCATCCGATGTTCGCAAGAGCTCCACCAAGACCAATGCACCACTCAATGCAATGGCAGGACCCTTGATTCGGGTCATCACCGATTTGAGGATTTGCATTGGTGATTCTTCCAACTCTCTGCGAAACACCATCAAAGGTGCACAGCCCGCTACGACAAACGGCAAAATGAAGGGGATGTAGAGCAACTCATAGGTCCAGCCAATGCTTGTTCCCAAGATGCCACTAAGAGCAAACCGACCCACTGGTGAGATGCTCAAATGCCCCAAAGTGCCCAAATCCCCATCCACGATCTTGGGCTCCTTGATCCGAAGTGCACCCTTCAGGCCAATGGGCTCGATCCTTGTCAAGATCAGGAGCAAGACGGTGAGCCACAGGGGCATGGTGCGAAAGATTGCATCAAAGAGGCGAAACTCGGCAAAGTGCTCGGCGTCCCCATCATGGATGTCTACTTTGTGCTTTCGCTTTCGGGGTTCTTCAGAATTCTCTGAGTCATGATTCAGAAGGTCTGCAATCTTTTTGGGAAGGATGGACATGTGACGTGCTTTGTGGAACTTCTTCAGCGTCTTGCCACAAACTTCAACCTCGTGATTCACTGCCATCTGCTTGACGCTCTTCACGCTCCTGACACTCTTGAAGCTCTTGACGCTTTTGTTTGACCGATCTCGAGCAGGCGCATCTCTTCCATTCATGGTGCGCTTGGAATCGGTTGTGTTGAGCTGCCCTTCCTGGTAGGATTCGCCATTATTAGCGCGTTCAGGACAACCTGATGGCCCGACCTGGCCATGCCTGCCTGAATCATCATTGGTCCTAATTTCTCTGCATAAATTCCTGCGCTACTCACGAAGCTCATCATGTGACACTTCTAATATATTAGATTAGCTTTCTCAACCACCCCCATGCCTCAACAGCCATGGCCACAGTTGGAGCCTTGCCCGTGATCATGAGATCCCACTGGTCAGCGTCAAAGATCTTTGAGTCGGCATTGGCCAAGGGGTTTTCAAGGAGCTTCTCACTGGGAATCTTCTCCAGCTTCTCCACTCCCATCGATTCCATCTCCACATTATGAATATCCTTCTGATCCTGCTCAGTTTGGGGAATCACATTTTCAGGACCGAGCTCAGGATCTTCAAGATCCTCCTGGTTGCGATTGTGGGGCCCCAGGCCAATCCCACAAACGGTCAGGACAGTGGTGACGCAAAGGCCCACGATGCCTGCAGCCAAGGTTGGGAACTCATAGTTCACGAAGGAAAGGCCAATGAGAGGCAGGACGCAACTCAAAGTACTCATGTAGATGAAGAGCAAACTGGGGCGGACCTCATCCCATGGCACGATGATGTAAACAACACCGGGCACCACAGCAACCGCAGCTGCTCCCAACGCAATCGCTGCATTGAAGCCCACTTGGAGCAGGTCCGCTTCAGCATAGTCAGGAACAACTTCTCCAATGCCGAACCACACGGGGGTGCCAACCGCGCCAAAGATGGTCATGCAGGTGTTGAAACAAAGCAAGCAAATGACACATTCCATCTTTGGGTGGCCCATGGAGTATAGCATGGGAGCGGCCAAGGCAGCGGGAGTGCCAAAGCCAGAGGCACCTTCGACAACAAAGGCGAAGCAAAAGCCGATGAGCATCACCTCGGCAATGGGGTGCGAATTGGTCACCAAACGCAACTGCACCTTCATCCAAGCCAAGCATTGAGAAGACTCCATGCAATCGAAGAGAAAGATTGCGCCAGCCACAATGCTACATGGCGTCAAAGCTTGCAAACAGCCCTTGATGAAGCAAGCACACGCCTCCAATGGACTTGCTCCCAAGTACCAAAGCTTCAACACAAAGAGGAGTATTGCAGCAAGCCAAAGACTCTTGGCGGTCGCCATGGGTTTTGGCTTCAAGACCATTGCCACAAGGAATGCAATCGGCGAAAGGAGCACCAAGGCATCCGCAAACCCCCATGGACCCATCCGCGCCATCCCACAAAATCCACAAACCTCCGCAAAAAAAAGAAAGGGCGGGGCGTTCCTCAAGAATGCTCGTTGCGGCTTGATCTGGATGGTGCTTCGAAGAAAAAGAGAGTCTCTTAACTTGGTGCAGTCACACATGGTGCTTATTAACACTTGATGTTCTGTATGTGGGTCTCTCAGTTTGATGTGGCATTTGCATGCATTTGCTTAGTCCACGACCCACCATCACACGACTCGCATGCGATTGGTGATGTTTAACATGGCAACATCAAGCTTCATCTATCTAGCTGTGACTGGTTGTGGACGTGCCGTTCTGTGCTGGAAGGAGAAGCCCCTAGACGTGCAAAGAGTCAAATAATTCAAGAGAGGTAAAGTTACAAGATATTCAACACATTTTGTGCAACGAGTCTATCCACTCGTTCATGCTCTTTCAACATCTTTCAACATATCAGCAAAGTAAAGTTTGAGCCAATGGCTGCATGGACAGAAAGAGCTCCTCCCTGTGGGGCACCAACAAATCAACTGGGGTAGATACTATACAAGTTGTTGATAGCCTTGCGACACCAAACGACACAATACAATCCACCATGAACTGAAAGGATTTGAGAGGAGCTTGAACACCATCAATCAAACATCTCAACATCACAAAACATAGAAGCACATTCCAGAAAATGATGATGAGCAAGGACGCTACGTTCGGAGCAAAGGGCATCGCTACTTAGGAGCCAGGATGCTACTGGGGGGTCATGGCCTTGCTACTAGGAGCAAGGACGCTACTGTGACCTTGAACATTTGTCGCTCCGACCTTTTCCGACCTCTTGGATCGCTAAAAAGAGCTTCTAGCAGTTCGGCGTGCCGTCTAGGCCAAAAAAAGATCAGGTTTTGAAGGTGCCAGTGCCTTTGGTGAAAAATGGTGAACATGAAACCTTAAAAACAGCTAAACACTCAATTGATCTCAATTGGATTGAAGATAGCAGATTCGAGCAACCGATCACGGCCTAAGACGCAAGCAATCGTGGCCGTCTCGTGGGAGTTAAGGGTCTCAAGGGCCGAAAGAGGTGCGGTAATTCAATTCATGCTATTAGGAACAAGTGCATCGCTACTAGTAACAAGTGCCTTACTAGTAGTAACAAGGACGCTACTAGGGGCTCCTGGCATCGCTACAAGGAACAAGGACGCTACTAGGGGCTCCTGGCATCGCTACTAGGAGCAAGGACGCTACTAGGAGTTGATCTACTTAAGATCCTTTGCAGCATTACCTTCCCTTTAGTCTCCTTTAGTCTACAAGCGGTCATGACATGCGCAAATCAGCAAATCCACTACTGGAAATGAATTGATAACCTTCCGCTGCTTCACTGTCACCCTCACACAGGACCTACTGAGTATTGCACCGCTCTGGCGCTTGCACATCACTGAGTGAAGTTGCCAGGTCTGCCAGCCTTGCCCTTGGGGAAGGAGGCAAATCGTTCCAAAATCACCAACTGCTGGCAAATCTTGGCTCAACTTCTTGAATGCTCTTGGGATTTCTGGCTGATGATTTGAAAAGGAACTGCTCGTACCAAGTATATAAACTTGGCATATGATGATCTATGACCGTCGGGACTCAAATGCCAGCATGAGGTGAAACTGCTGTACAAACCACCCATAAGCAGCCAATGTCTTGAGGGCGCTAGGGTGTTGTCCCTGAATTGAGTGAATTCGAATTTGCCACAGACATCGAAAGGTTGTGGACAGCACTTCCTGCTCACAAAGATGCATCCGGACCGGAAAATGAAAAAATAAGTGCTGATCTGCCGTTTTCACGAGAGTTTGTTAATTTGTCATTTTCACAAACCTATGAGTTTGTTAAGTTTGAGAAACATGCACAAATCTGCGTCAATTTCTTGCAAACAGCAAGACTCCATGCGCAATATGATGTTCACAAAGGGGAGCTTTATACAACGGTCATCCCCAGTCCTAACATCACGGACTCATCGTCACTGTCAAAGTCGACAGAAGTCCTGGACATTTGAGCCCAACGTTTTGGAGAAAACCGCCAACCTTGACAGCCACAACTTCTCCAAACAAAGCCGGCCATGTGAAGGCCCTCTTATTGTTGCAGTCATCTCCGAGGGCTGTACTAGCAACCAAATGGAACCAATCTTGTGTCCATAGGCACGAGCATGACATGACTCTCACCCACAAGTAATCCATTGGGTGGGTGCCACCGGCTGCCTGTGCAGCTCCCATCCACGATGGGTGTCGTGGTTGAAGAAACTCTAAAAACAGTTAGATTCTTTACTGCAAACATGGCCATCAAAGGAGCCGAGATCAACCAGTGAGCAGCAGCATCCATCTTGACATGTATGAGTCACTGGGACCGTTGTCGGCACCTCTTGCTCCTCTACAGGCTAAAGGAACCAGAGGTGACAACCCAATCCTGATATTTCACCTGAGCTTCTGGCACACGAGGCCTGGCACCACCCATGCCTTGCCCAATCCTCTTCTGGGCCTCCAAGCTTGAGCCGACTTAGGACCCCTACTCCAAAAGAAAAGGGATGCCGGGCATAGTTACAAGAAGTGGAAAGGCCGTCTAGGAGAACTCAAGGTTCGCGCTTGTGAATAAGCAGAAGGGTCGTGTGAGCCCAGAAAGCAAACATAAGCAAACATAGGACACGCGATGTTGGCCCATCTGAAACACATCACCAATCATCTGGGCACCACCTAGGGTTGCCCTCATCTAACCAAGGGGTCAGGGGTGCCCAAAATCCATGATGTGGGTAGAGGAACGTTCCAAGGCTCTACAAAAAAAAGATGTGAACGACGTCGACAGGGTCAAAATGGTATTCCGTGGCTCGAACAATTATGCTTAAAGCACAGCAACCACGCCCAGCAGGTGGTTTCCATAATCCTCCATACCTTATCTTCCCTTTAACTGTTGGTCCACTCCAGTCTACAACAGCGGCACGCCTCAAAGGCTTTCCGCATTTCCGTGGTGGCCACCGTGAACCTTAGGAGACATCTAGTGGCTGGGATGCTACTAGCGATGGCCTCCAACCTACTACCAATGGCCTCCAACCTAAGAGCGATGGATACATTTGTTTTGGGATGCTAGTGGATGGGTCTGTTCTACGCCCATGCTCCGACTTGAAGACCTTCAGATCTGTTTTTCAGCATACAACCACGACAAACGGGTGTGCAGTGCTCGAGGACATATCATGGATATTGCATGAATGTCCTGCTCGAAACACACCTCAATGTTGCAAAGGCAGCCTTTTCAAACCTGTGAAATTCTGCCTATTGCATTACAGTAGCTGCAGTTGTGCACACAGGGAGTACCCCTCACTCTCTATGGCCTTGGCGTGGATAGGCCAGGAAGGACCGGTTGTGGATCGCAGGGATCAACTCGCGGGCCCAAATCCCTCTCAGGCAATGAACGTGGCGGTGCTCAAGGGAACGATCATCGCCACCAGGTTCAGTGTGCTGTTGTCAAGGCTCTTGCCATTCAAGAGTGGATCGCCTCAAAACACATCACGGTTTTGCTATAGTGCTGTGAGTTTCTCTGCGCATCTCTCTCCTTTCTCACAATCTCGCTGTTCTCCGATGCTATCCACTCTAGTCCACCAAACCATAGCACACTCACTGCCTTTCAAAGGTGTGTTATCACATGCAAAACAACAACAGTACTACATTATATATATATAGTTAGCCATGCTCCTATACTTCTCGACTGTATTCTATTGTGAAGAAGACTCGGTTGAATTGGTGGTCGCACGACCATTGTGTCAGATTGAATCAGCTTCCATCTCACTTTGTCGTTGTGCAAAAGAATAGTTGCCATCGGCTACCTTTCTGAATCTCTGTCAATAACAAGAACAGTAAAAAAAACATGCCCCGTCGCACGCGGCGGAATCGCCTTGATCAAAGACTGCGTGCAAAACACAAACCAATCCCCCAAAAGACTGGTTTGCATCATAGCTTGGGGTCTCAATGAGGACAGCTCGTTGGTGTCGTACCATCTAGGAACTCTGAACGACTTTCCCGCACTTTCCTCTTTGTCCCCATTTCTTAGGGAGGTCCTTCTACCCGGACCCTCCATCGGGAAATCATGCCACCGCCCCTGGGCCCCTGTGCCAATGAAGTAGATCCCCAAAAGGCTAAAGGAATCCTGGGCCGCTTCCGTCGGGTGCATCGCGGGATCTTGTGGCTTTTGGGAGACCTTTCTTATTAGCCCGCTCTGCTCCCCTACTAATATTAGTTATATAAGTAGGCGCCTACTTAATCAAGTAAGAGCTCAACAAACTACTAGGTAACCTGCTAGTAGCGAACAAACGCAGGATAGCTCACGCTCGCACTATTCATTTGGTTCGTAGATGCTCAGAGCCTTCAAGTACAGTACCAAATCTGGCCAATTTGTCTTCATGACGTTGATTTGAGAACATGCAACAGACATCACCAGACCCTCTGTTTCTCTCATCCTCAACATTGTACAATCACAAGCGGTTTGATGCTTTCGAACTTGAGGCTTCATGAGTCGAGATGCTGCGATGGCGCGATGGATGACTGAAAAGGCATGGGTCACTTTGCCCACCAACCATCCTGCCAGGTCAAGCAAAGGTGTCTGCTTCCTCTTGTGGAATGACTCCAAGTTCCCAGGTCTGTTTGACTCAACTTTGTTCAAGCATCTTCAAAACACGGCAACGACTTTGGCAAGCCTTGTGCCGTATTCACAAAAACAGCCATGAAGATGAGCCAAGTATCCCAACCTTGAGTGACTTGGCCATGGTAACGAACCCAGAGAATGGACAAGCACGACAACTATCTTCCTACTGTGCCATTTTGCAAATATGGATCTATCTTTGTGGTAGCACGTGGTGGACAGTTCCCGGAATGAAGGGATGTAGAAGCATAAATATGAAACACATCCATGTTGGATTGCAAGTTTCTTCTTTTGCCTGCTTCTCATAACTTGAGTCACCGGGCCCGCAAACAGCCCGGAAGTACACCTTGGAGGGATCTTCTGACATCCCAATCAGTTTCGCCGCTACAAAACTTGGAAGATCCTGCCACCATCTTTAGGCGGTTTATGGCGGCTTGGAACCAGCAAGGGACACTAATTATTCTTGGATGAGATGGACCTGTAAGTACAAACAGCGGCTTCTTGAACACAATTCTGCGAAAGAGGCCAAGGAGGTAGAAAGCCCAAAAGAAGCTCAACGACATGCTGAGCCAGAAAGTAGCTCGAGCTTACCAATTGTAGAAAGGGGTGCATATAAACCTCCATCACAGTAGATGGTGGGAGCTTTCTTTTGCTACCTTTGCTCCAAGGCCACACATAGTGGCTGGCTTTGATGAAGATGCATGGAACAAACCTCGCCTTCGTCTGTGAATCCATGGTACATCCAAAAGTAAATATATCCAATGGCATTCTTCCAAGAGAGCCGGCTAGCCACAGAATGTATGTATAGGTGCTAGTAACAGAAGTGGACAATGAAGAAGCACTTTCTGAGCATCTGAACGGACAGTCGCACTCTGGGTTGTTGCAGGTTCCAGCGCCTGTGCACGCAGTGGCTCTATCAAGCTCGCACATACGTCTTGCCCCCAACCAACCAATCCTGGGTCACATGAGACCCAATGAGCTGAAAAACATAACCCGTTTTTAATCACCATCCCAGCTGCAAAGTGGTCGCTTTCATGCAAACAGGTGCTCATTTAGAATGTCGTGTTTAATGACGATGTCTCCTTCCAAGCGGTGAACCGTTTTCATGAACCAAAGCTCCGGCTCACGCGCTCGCGCCGCCTAGGTCCCAACATACTGATTGCCTTGGCACGGAAAGGCAAGGCAAACCAGTCAAGGACGCTACTAGGCTACTAGGTGCTCCTGGCATCGCTACTAGGAGCAAGGACGCTACTAGTAGCGATGCCAGGAGCCCGTAGTAGCGTCCTTGCCAACCTCAAGAAGTTGGCTGTATGAAGAGGTCCTTTTTGTGAGTATGAGGTCTGACTGCAACAAACACACTCAAAAACTAGCTTGAACAGTCTCTATGCAGAATCTGAAATTGATATCATGAAAAGAAAATACATGAAAATACAATATCGAATACCAGTAAGCATCAGTAGCAACAGTGCACAGCTCGTACACTCCTTAGCACGTGGCGCTGGGCAGGTTTCATAGCTGTCAGGCCGGACAGCCCAGGGCACATCCTGTAGGACCGTGCTCCAGGAGATGTGAAGCAAGCATCTATCATCAGCAGTCATCTCCATGTGATGAACACCAGTATCGTGTCTAATTGCCTTCTCTTCTCCATCAGTGGTATGTCGTTCCCTCCTTAAAGCGTTTCCACTCCGACAACCCTGAGCCAGCAAATAGGCAGAACATGGCAGAACACTTGCATTCCAGGACCAGACCTGGGGTCGTGTCGCGATGAAGCCTATGATCGGAATCAGCACCTCAGATTCCAAACAAAGAACAAAACGGCTTGAAAGGAGAGAGATCATTTTGGGCATTCAATGGCTCTCATGGTCTCATGGGATGAAAGATCGTCCGCAAACTGCTTCTGGACTTTCCACACTTGGTGGCCGCAAAAGATCGCAAAAGCCTCACAAACTCGGTGTAAACGTTAACTCTTGTGCCGAAAGGCTAGGCTCGAAAGAATGCTGCCGAAATCCAGCCGGACCTGCGAACTGAAGTGCGGACTGGAACCAGATTGTGTTGATCTCAGACCAATGCCTACCCTTGAGCCTATTTAGCACTCAGAAGGTCGTGGATCAGCTCACTGATGGATCTGAAGTGACCAAGAAGGACCAATCCGAGGTGTCCAGCCTTTTGCACGTGGAAAGCCTCCCGCTCTCCTGCATTTTGACACTGCAGGGCTGACTTGGACTTGTGATGCTTCCTAGCTTGGGAAAGGATCCTAATCTGCTGTCAACTCTACAATGCACATGCAAAACCTCGAAGAGAAGTGGTGCAATGCCGAGCAGACTGAGTACTGTAAACAGCGCCCTGGAGACCTCTGACCGGTGTGTCTTCACCTCCCCAACACCCTCCCAAGCAGACCTTTCAGTATCTTCTCCGTGACCAAGGAAGCCAAGGCGGAGACCGCAGCTGAACCTCTCCCGTCGGGGGGGGTCGGTGTGGTCCGCCAAACTTGGACTCTGAAGGAGCACTTCCTCAAGTTCGGAGCTCCAAGACCCCCTGGGTTCGGAGGTCCAAAGACTGAACAGGCGCACCTCCCACCATTCACCCGTTTGAAGTGGCCGAACTCGGCACTGGTGAGGTTGGGACTTGAAGTCTCTCCAAGTTGGGACCCCATGCATTCCTGCTAGTTCAAACCGAAGTCATTGGCAAACTGCAAAGCCCATGGCGCGAAGCCCGCCTAAAACCATGGCCATGGCGCCTAAAGGCGCTCCTGATGGCCCTTTTGAGCTAATATTGTAGACCTGGCATGGAAAAATTGCAGATCTGAACAAGTCACTGGGTGCCCTACCTCGAAAATTCAGGCCATATGCTAGAACATGGCCGCCAAATTCAAAAGTGTCAAAGCCCGAGACCTGCAAATATCCAAAGGCAGCCGAGGAAAGCGTCAGGATGATGAGTGCAAACCTGGCAAGTTCGCTGAATCTCTCGGGTGTGTTCCTCTCATAGGTAATTTGAAAGAACTATATAAATAAAGCCTGAGCTAATTAAAATGAATACGAGCTATGACTGTTGGATCCCCCTTTGTCCAAAGGGGCAGAAAGGACTGGAAAGTCGAGCATCAAACATCTACTCGATGTGGTTCAAATCGCCAGCAACTTCCCACAGAAATGGCGTCAACGAACTTTCAATCCCAACATCATCTCAGCTCGCTACCACTCGAGGGGCATATAGTATTTGCCCATGATATAGCCTGGCTCCCCACCGGCAGTCAAGCGGCACCGGTGCCACTCAGCACGTCCCACCGTCACAAATTGCAATGTCGGGAGCTGATTTGATGAATTGTGTCTGCTAAACCTAATGTATCTCAGAGGAGTTTGCAATGGTGACCTTGGTCCTCTTCAGCCCATGGAACAGGTTGCGTCCTTTGTGACAAAGCCTAAATTGCACAATCTATCCTGAGACCTGTGATAGAACATGATAGATCCCCTGCCAGAATAGCCTGAACGATCTTCAAATGTCCCAAACACAACATGAAATCCCCCGCCCACCACCCGAACTGTCTGTGGATCTACTGCGATCATGAGGTTTACGTCCAGCAAAATTGGAGCAGTTTCCGGGGCAACGTCAGTTAAGGAGTTCTTCACTGAATACCATTTAATCCCTCACCCTCCTCTCGTCCTCTCGTCCTCTCTCTCTCTCTCTCTTGCTTCCTGTTTGACAAACATGCTGAGCAGCAACCCGGTAATGTCATCAGCCTTTCACTCGGGAAGCATTTGAGGTCCCTGCGAGCGCAAAAGGCTGCAACTGGAGTGTAGAATTTGCCCAACACCTGCAGCTGAAAGGTGCCTAGTGTTTCGAATTAACAGACCCAATTTTGACCAATCTCTTCTCCACTTTTTGTGATCCTCGAAACGGGGAAGATCACAGATCCCTGTTCTACCGTATCAGTAGGCGTATCTCATTTAAGGATAATCACCACTACTTTGGATGTTGACACCTTGGGGTAAAGTTACACAGGTATCAAACAAACTCCGTAGCTTCCCTGCAAAAGCATGATGAACCCCTGATATTAACAATTCTTCATGTAGAGTCAGAATCTGCATGTTCCACGGTGTCCACATCCCTTCTTCGCCAAAAGCTGAGAGTCCAGCTAGATAAAGGGCAGGGCTGATGCCCATGGCAAAGCCCTGAGACTTTCGCAAAGGCAGCTGATGGGTTACAGGAGGACTTCTGCCTGTTAGCCTGTTACTGTAGTGCCTTATGGTGTCTCATACCAACATGTGAGTACCAACATGTGAGTATCAACCTGGGCCAATCTGGCAGCTTTCTCCGGATTGGTGGCCAAATTTGAGCTTCGGCCGCTGCGACCAATTGACATGCTGCGTCCACTTCGGCCCTGTCGTTGGGGCCCACTCCAAGTTTCCAAGTGTTGTAGCCAAAGCAAATAGGAAAGCAGCGGGAAGGCAATGCCTGGGTAGAAGGTGCTAAGCGGCAATACATCACATGAAAGCAAGGCTGCTGCCCGGTACAACCGCAAAGCAACTACTGTTCCTCAAGGGACCCTGCGGCATCTCAGTGGGACATTAAGTGCACAGGCAGTTGAATGTTAGACACAAACATATCGATGGTCCTGTTTGCAGCAAATACCACTTTGGCCAATTCTGCCACAGCGAAGAGGAGTTCATCAGTTCATCAATCTGTTTGCTTTTTCACAGTTCATGAGATACTGTGAGGGTCCCTGATTGCGACATACACTGCAAAGTCAGCAATGTCCATTGCCTTCAATGATCTTTCAATACAAACGGAAGCCACATAATCTGCAAGTGATGAGCTGGCGACAGGATCTTCTGCGGTGACCAAGCACGCCTGACTTATTGGATCAAGGAGCCGTTCACACCACGCTTGGTCGTCTTCTATGGCCAACTAGCTGGGACAGGGACTAAGTGACTTACATGATAAAGACTTACATCTGGCAAGCTCATAGCCAAAACTGGAGTCGTGGTGACCATCTGGCCCCACCATCCTCTTGCCCCATACTTCTTTCACGTTTTCTAATCTTGTTTCCAAGCTCACCGCTTGAGGCCATCCAAACCATCATAGTAGGCTGTCAGGGAAGTTGCCACCACGACGCCCACGACCTGACACGAACGAGGAAAAGCACCAGGTCTGGGTCCCAATCATTGCAAACACGAGACGCGAGAAGTGCGATGAAATGCCATGAAATGCCTGGTTATACATGTTGTTTCTGTCGTGTTCTGTCAAATATATGTCTTTTCATGTCTTTTCTCACTGGAGTTAGCATGTTCTATGGCAAGCGAGCGTATCGTGGGCACCACATGCGACCCTTTTTCGTCCGTCTCACCACGGCGCAGAACCGAGCGCTCGTTCACTCTAAACAAGAAGACGAGAACATCGCTTTAAACAAGAACGGCAACTCCAAAGTTTGCCTTGTTGGCCATCGACCACTGTATGGGTCATCACTTCAATATCTGGAATCCGATTAGAATCTAAGGCGGAGGCATAGCAAACCAAACCCATCACTGTGGAATTGGTCACCTGCAGCAAGAATAAGTCAAAATGACTGGCAGTGTGTCATTACGACTTGGCAAGTCCTTCCTCTATTCTCCATTATTCTTCTGTTACCGTGGATCTTGTGGGAGGATGACCTTTTCTGCCGTCTACATGCCCGGCTCATCGAGTCCATTTTCTCTCTTACCGTTACCCCGTCGCGTCTCGGTCCATGGGCCGAGATCCGCACCGTGGTGCTTAAGGCCTGGCAGCGCAAGAAGTGCTTTCGTTGCAAACAGAACAACAAGAATCTAATAGCTTCTTGTTACTACTAGTAAGGCACTTGTTACTAGAAGCGATGCACTTGTTACTACTAGCTTATTGTTTCTACTGCCAAAGCTGAAGGTGCATGGTTTGGTAAGCCGTCCACAAGCGGACATTCGTTGACCCAGCGTCCAAGGGACCTTCTGTAAGATGAGGGTGCGCCCCGCATCGGATAAGACATATACAACCATTAAGGCCTTAGCGAGACGTGAGATGCAAGGGGCCGATGTGTCACATGTTGGGATGGTTATACAATTGATTGGTCAAGTTGCATGAACTTCATCTGTCCAGAAAAGCCGGAATACTGGTAATGCTTGAATATAGCTTGGCAATCTTTGGCACAGGTTCTCAAGCTTTCACTCAAATGTTGCACAAGAACACTACAGCTCTCCAACCACCAGTAGTCTGATGCCAGATGGTGAACAAAGAGCGAGACTGCGAGACCAAATGTGAACGTGAACATGGATCAAGAATTCGAAACAAGTCAAAGCCATGCCTCTAGAGTCTCTAGATGTCTCTAGTCTCTAAAGGCTTAATTGTGGATGAGGTTTCACAGAAGCTGATCATAAGCCTACCCGCTCAGAAAAGAAAACTATATGAAACAAGACACACCTGCACGAGAGACACCAAAAAGAGATAAAAAGAGGAACTAAAAGCTTGCCACAAAGCTTGCCACCTTGCCACATCTTTTTGGTCGCACAAGGTGTGCACCTAGCTTGGGCCCCCACATAGGTCATGCACAGATTCATCAAGCCATTGGCGTCCATACTGAAGCAGCTCTCCTCACGCAAGTTGATCTCGGTGAGCCGTTGGATCGGAAGCGGTTCTGGATGATTCAAAAGCAACGAACAACCTGCATCAAGACATATACTGTAAGACATAAGGGTGGTATCCCTGGCCCTCTGAGGCATGCTTGTTTGGCTTTCTGCTCTCCTTTGATCCCCAAAATGCTTTAGGAGGTGATACAGCACTCAGAGCTCTTCAGCTGGTCCTCTGTCTCCAAAGCACTATGCTTTGATGTCTCCCTTGGAGGTAGCGGGTAGCGAAGTCTGAGACCGGAGGCATGCACAATCATGCACAATCAGCAGCCTCTCTGAGTGGGATGCCTACCAACTTCCTTCGCATTCCTGCTTCTGCGACGCCTCAGCCATCACAAGGAAATGCTGATAGTGTGTAGACCACCTTTTCACGATAATAGTTTGCTTGTAATCCGAACATGCTCTCTGGAAGGAAGTGATTCCTCAGTGCAAAGTAAGCACAAGCAAGCAAATATCTCTATCTAAACGCCCATGAAGATAGAGTGGACGCATCTTGAATAGCCATTGATCCAACATTGCTGTGCATGTCGGCTGCGCGGCACCATAGTTCACTGTCATGGCGTACGGCTACTGACATCATGGTCCAATGGTATCTTGCCATGATGGGTTCACCTTTTAAATGCGGTAATTATGGATAAACAGTGTCCTTAAGGTCAGCCGTTGGCTGTAGCATCCAACCATCTCATCCGCAACTTCAATCATCTTCGGTCCTTTCATGTCTATCTTCCTCAAAAGCTCAGTAAAACAAGCAGAAGCAACGGTGCTGAGGTCACGCACACTCCAGGCTTCGGGGTATTGGGATCTGCCTCACCCAATACGACCAAGCATGTTGCACGATTAGGAATCCTTAAATTAGGAAGCAAGTATGGAACTCGTGAATTCTTCAATCTCATTCATGCAACCTTTGATTTTCCCTCACACCATGCGCTAGAAAGGCATCGAAAAGCGCTAATTATCTTATTATTATGTATATTACATGTTATTTGTCGTTTATTCCATTTATTCGTAAGGCTGGCATTAACAAAACTCACCTCTCCAAGCAAAAAGCAAATGAACATTTGCTGGTACTGGAATGGTCTAGTCTGACCGGGTCGAGCCTCCGATTTAGCCAGTGAACTGAGCTGCAAGGTGGGATTGGCCTGGAGGAGCAGTGCGACATCCTCGAGGTGGTGACAATGTGCCTGAAAACTCCATCCAAGTGAAGAAAATCCCTGTCCATTATGTTTGACCTGCCAAAAAAATGATAAGGGGGAATAGAATATCTATATAGTTAAGATTGTGTCAAGGCCACAGCTAGATGTGTTGTACCGGTTCTGTGCTGTTATGCCATTAATAATCATTAATCTGCATTTATATTTATATCTGCATATATCTGCATAGGAATTCCAGCGCTCCTTTTGTCATTCCAGGATTTGGTCGAATCAGCTTCTTGCTGCTTCTACGAGTCGGGCTTGGTGGGGGAGAAACACTCATGGCGTAAACACCCCGCTGGCTTGGCCAAGACAGCTGAGAAGGGATTCTGGATGCTTTCATACCATCAGGAGTACAACTAGCACTATGCTTTGTTCAAAAGGGTGGAACTGCTTCAAATGCCGTCTAAGATGTCAGAGTCTAAGCAGCATGGAGGTGTCGCCCGTGCTGAAAGAGACCATGCTTCCACAGAATCACGTACATGATGATCCTATTTAGAGCACCCTGCCAGGCCACCGGGCTATGGGCACGTGAGGTTCTGCAAAAGCCCGTACCATTTAATCGGGCAGCACTGGTCACCCTCGTTCTGTCAGCGTTTCGGCCTCACGGGATGTTTTTCCGTTCCAATTGTCGCGTGCATCACGATCAATTCCTCGACAAGGGTTGCCAGGCACCTCTAAAAAAGAGAGAGGACATTACCCCGTTCTTTCGACGCCGGGGAACGATGGTGAAAAGACCAAATGCGGAACTTTGCCGCGTGGGCTTTTCCAGGGCTTTGAAGAGATCGAGCAGCATCTGTTTAGACACCCAGCTTGGTCGGAAGTACGCACTTGCCATTGAATTTGGTAGAGACTGATACTATGCCACGGCTAGAGACAGGTTTGCGGGAAGAAGTCGGGCTGTCGGGAGCCTCTCTGCTCTGATCTTCTTTTTGTCCTGGCCAAACGCCTCTGTGCAAGAATGCTTTCTTCGTGAAGCTGTCTGGGGCCAAGAGGGCCTTTTTACTGCCTTGACCTGTTTGGCCGCATATGCACATGCATTTAAAGTTGAGTATATAAGTAGGTAATGTGCACAGCACAAAGGCTTCACTCTCCTCAAAAATCTCCAAATCACTGCGTTTGATACGGTGAACTGATACACATGTGAGTTGGCAAACCTGTAAAGTGCAAGTTCTACAAAACTTGACTCCACATGGGGGCCCTCCACACCAAGCCCCATTTCGCAAATGCCAAGGATTTGAGGGTGTCTCAGTCACAACACTGCCTACAAGGTGTCTTCATCCGGACTGTTTTAAGCCCATGTCCGTGTTGGAAGTAAGCAACCGCTGATGGCGACCCATGACCCACTTCGCAGCTAGACTGCGAATGAAGAACACTTCAGCATCTGAATGGTGAGCCACCACGAACCTCAGTTTCTTTGATGAGACATCGAGGCCAGCGAGCGAGGAGTTGATGCTCAAAGATTTCTCAATAATGTGAGGGTGCCTTTTAATGACGAAAAACAAAGAACTCTTAATTGCGAAGCTCTGGGCCCTTAATTGCGGAAGCTGGCCCTATAGACTGAACATTCGCAGGCCCCATAATATGTTGACAGCCACAAACAATTTGGACAATTTTACCTGTATTTGCTGGTTGTTCTTGGCTGTGGGCTTGCCACTCAAAAAGGGCTAAGAATTCCGGACTACTCCCATGACATTGCAAGTCTCCAAAAAGATCACCATGATTCCTTGAAACAAAACGAAAGGAGCAGGCTACACCACAAAGCAACAAAGACTTTTCCGAAAACGGGTTGCTGCGCTGGGGGTCCCGTGGTTGCGATAGGCTTCGTTATTTTAAGTCAACTGAGTCAACGAAATGAGGCCGGGCGATTGTGTCCGTTTGGGCGTATCTCAAGTAGCAACCACCTCAGATACACGCACGGTTGTGCTGTTGGTGGTTTTGGCTATTATTTGAGATTAAAATTTGAGACTCGACATGTACAACGGACCCAAACGACTTCGGACCCCTAAGACGTTTTGGAAGAATGCAATGTACGGGCAAACTGTCCTGACACACCTTTCGCGATGATCCAAGCGACTTGTTGCCTTGAGACGATTTGGAAGAATTTGAGGTCTCAAAGACACTCAAGGTTCTGCTTTTGGTCAACAAAAAAACAGATGGGCGGCATTCTTTGAGGTCTCTGCTGCCCGTGAGTCTTCTTGCACTTCCAGCCCCTGTCCCACGCATATTTACGCTATTAAGATCCCTTTTTCCCCGCTATTAAAATCTGTGCTTCGCTATATTATTACATGCCTGAGAAGGGAGGGGACGAAAGCCAGCCTCTGGCTCAGGGGGTGCCCTTGGGGTAGGTCCGGGCAAAGACTTGGTGTTATGGTTTCCAGTAACAGATCTAACCTCCGCGGTATGGATGCAACGTGGAATTTCATAAGTACAAAATAGTTCAATAAGTGCACTGGTACAGCAAGGAGATTGTACAAACTCACCACTGGCCGGTGTTGTTGTGCAGAGTGATCTCACACGAATGGATGCCTTGATCATTTCATTCTCGCTACAGCGCAGGAGAAGAACCTCCACCAAACACGGCCAAATCTTCCAAGCAAGGCGCCTGTGGGATGTACGCACTGGGATTGCTACCGCCTCCCCAGAGCAGCTAGGCGCCCCTGTGCCGCACTGATCTATTTGGCCCCATGGCTTCGTGGGTTTCATTCAGGAGAGCCGGCAGTTGCGGCCACGCCAGCGAAGCCAGGCGCCTCTGCGACGCGCGCTTTTCTTCTGTTTTGCTGGGTCGCAAGGTGTCATGGACCGCGTGATTGCTACAGCGCGCTAGCTTCCTTTTTCAGGAAGTGGCAAGTTCCGCGACACTACCCACCCCAGGCGCCTCTGCAGTCCATGCCTGGGCATGTTTTCTTTTGCTCCAGAGCTTCATGGGCCCCATGAAGCTCAAACGGAAGAACAACTTGTAGGAATCCTGATCCTGGACGTTTGGTCCCCCTTTTCAGGGGAGACTTTACCGGCGCCGCCTTCTTTGCCATGTCCACCGCGCGAAGCACGCAAGTCTGTTTGAACAAGACCGAAGGCTGCGATACAAGGAAGAGGTAAGTAGCTGACGAGTTCAGAATCCTTGCCACAACGTAAAGACTTGAGGGTCTTGAAAACTGTGATCCAGGAAAGGTGTGATCCAGGAAAGGTGTGGTAGGGTTTCAATGAATTATTCTCCGAATGGGGTACCTCACCAGCTTTTCATGTCCCCTTGTCTGGCCTTTCCTCTCATCGACGTGAACTCCCACCCCTAGTCAAAGCAATTTACATGGCACGTTGCTGGTGAGTAAACAAAGAAGATTGTGGGAGGCCCCTGGGCGAGGCTATCGGCAAGCTTTCGTCAGGATACATATGTGTACACAGGTAGAGCGGACAAAGAGGATCCGGCAGCGGTCAAGTGGATATGCCCGTCGTTCGAGATAGAACGGAAATAGATAGTAAACACATAGGCTTAGGACGGGGTGCCCTTTGTCGTCTTGATGTGAGTAAAGAAAATGGAAGCAGCCTCTCCCATCTGGCACCCCGAGCCGGGTGCCAGGTGGAAAGGGCAGCAAAGGGAGTCGAACAGCTCCATCTGGCACCCCGCTCCGGGTGCCAGATAGAAAGGGCAGCAAAACGACTCTAACGCCTTGAAGTTTGTAACATCGTGAGCAGCATCCACTTGCCAATGTCAAGTGGAAGGGTTCCAGGTGCCTGAACGTGCCACCGCTCATGATGCCAACCCATTCCGAGAAAGGCTTGGTAGAGTGTGCTGAGACGGGGTGCCCTTTTTCGTCGAGGCGCTGTGGACGTGAAAAAGGGCACCCCTGTAGTCCGGGAAAGCTTCAGAAACAGTTTACATAGCGTCCAGAATCCCTCATGATGCTGATGATGCACTACTTGCCGTCAATTACATCACCGACATCACAACACCCTCGCTACCCAGTGGCCCGCCTCTTTTTGTCGCTCTCCCCCACCAGGCTCTGGGTTCACCTCTCCGGAGTAGTCCACGTACGCAACCACCCCCAGTCTACTCACTTCGTTCGCTAAAGAAGCCTCAAGCCCTGCCTACCGGCTGGCTTTCGTGATTTGATTGTAATTTACAATCTATGTTTTGCCATTAGAGAGTACCCTGCAACAATGCCAAAGTTGGATATGGCTTTCCCAGCAACACACACATTCTTGGACACTTGGAGTTCGGACTTCATTGATTCCTTCCAAACGAATCGCTGTTGATCTCAATTTGATCTCAGCATGGAGCTCCAACCCTGCCTTTTTTCCTTTATTTTATATATAAGGGTCTTAAGACGTTGATTGGTACGGAAAGGCATCGACTCGAGCAGAAGATAAAACCAGAAATTTGCAGCCCAGGTGCGCTGACTTGGCAACCTGCTCGATTCTCTAGAAAACTTGCCAGAAGACGGGTTCGCCTGCAGTCGCGACGTGTTTTCGTGGTGGAAAAGAAACGCAGCGTTTTCTGTAAATCCAACGTCCCACCGTCTTTAGATGAACAGGACTTGAACTTCACTGAGGTAACAAAATGGGCGGAGAATGTACTGGTCCAGCTGCACAAGCTTTTCAAAATAGCTCCCACAATGGTCCAACATGTGAAGCACTTGACCAAACAGGATGGCTGGGGAAGAACTCCATTCAAGCATCGACTACACTACAGTACAATAGTTATTTTGCCCTGCTAACCCTGGGAACCCGAACTGTGTAATGCTATCTGAAGGCCGGTACAGTAAAAAACTTCGTGATTTGGAGCAAAGCAAAGGTCAACAAATGTCGGCTTCATAATCCTTACGAATACGGCCAGCCTGGCATCCAACACGTGATCCCAAAGCGTAATCTGAAGCGTGCCTGCTTCGCTCCGGCTCTGCCAGCCTCAGCTTCAAACAATTCACCTTTGGGCGGAGAAGCCAGCCCATCCAGTTGCAACTCCTCGGACTTACCTTTGCAGGCATCTTTCCACATGGCCTCTGTACTCAAACTCTGCCTACTCTTCATTTCTCCAGCATGACATCTCCTTCTCAACAGAAGCAACAAATATCCATGGCTGGGCCTTCCAGCGGGCCCAACAACACCTCTGCTTCGAAGGTATTTGGCCGTCGCACGCGCATCACCTGGACGAGACGTGTTTCGACGTGTTCTCGTCTTCACCACAGGAAGTGAGACTCATCAATATTGTACGCTTTAGCAAGCGGCATCGCGTACAATGTTCACCCTCTTCACCTGTGGCCAATGGCCACCATTCAGTCCTAATCACAGTGGGCACAGTGTCGAGACTTTAACAGGACATAAACCATCAACTTCTTGCCCAAAAAATCCAGCCACATCCAGCCCGATGCCAAATCCACGCAAAAGGCTTTTTCGCTTTGAAAAGCTTGGACCCTCGACCTGAACCCGCGCGCCTTCACCCCGAAGCACTGGCACATCTTCCGCAACGAGGCGTCCGTGGCCTCCGGTGGAAGCCTGGAAGAGCGGGCCTTTTCACCAAAACTTCGTAGTAACAAGTGCCACGCTACTACGATTGAAAGGGGTCGTATCAAACTAGTAGCGTCCGATCGCTCCTAGCGAGGCCAGGAGCCCCGATCGTAGCTTCTTGTTACTAGTACGGCCAGGAGCCCCTAGTACGGGGAGGTTATAAAGAAAAGAAAAGTGTTCTTTGTTCAACTCTGTTCTTAGTACAAGCTTAAGCCTTCGGGCTTTTGCATAGAGCTTTCATAGGGCTTTGGGGAGGGTTGGGGTAGTTTTATACGGTTGATGATTAAGTTTCTGAACGAATGATACCCCAATTATCACTAGTTCACTTACTTACTCGTTAACTGGAACACGTATGCTCGTTATGAGAGAAATACTCTATGACTCTATGATTCAACCATGATTCTATATACGAATATTCCATCAGTGATCCAATTGCTTGAAATACCT